GAGTGCGCACTGGAGCACCCTCCCCCATGGCTGAGGGTCGGCGGCAGAAAGCGTGCAGAATCGTTGTTGGCAAGTCCCAGGCTCCTCAGCCTCCCACCCCAAAGACTTGGGAGAGGTCGCTAAGGTCGCTAAGTTGCCCCCCAAAAAAATTGCCGGTGCACACAACCTCCTAAGCCCTACCCCCAGAGTTGGGAGAGGTCCCTATAGATAAGGCCATTACCAAGGCGGAAAAAAGATACACCCAAAATCAGAAAGGTCGACCCCCAGAGCCTAAGGCCCTCCCAAGGCTCTGGGGGTAGGTGGCTTTTAAAAAGGTTTCAAAAATGTAACCGGCTGTTTTTTGGAGGGCACCCTGCAGGGTGCGTTGGGAACTTTTCTCAAGGCTCTGGGGGGTTAGGGAACCGGCAGTTTGGGGGTCTTAGAAACCTCTTAGGTTCTGGGGGCCTTGGCAGAAGTCCTCCGAACCTAAGCTCCTACTCCCAGCGCTTGGCAGGGGTCCTTACCCAGCAGCTGCCCTCCTAAAAATAGCCCTTAAGAAACTTAGGTTGCAAAGGTTCACAGGGCTCCGAAGGCCCCCAAAGCCCAAAAGCCCCAACCAAGCCTTCCTTCAAAAAGTAAAACCCCCTACACCAAAGCCTTGGGAGAGGTCCCTAAGGCCCCCTAGCAAGGCCCTCAAGCCAAAAAAGAGCCAATGCAAACCTGCTTTAGGTTGAAAGGGTCTACAGGGGCTGCTAAGCCCCCTGTCCCGCACCGATTCCCACTTTTGAAGCCCTTAACATCCTTAAAGAATACCCTACCAAGGCTCCCCGCAGGCTGCCCTCCAAAAAACAGTTGGTTCCCATTTTTGAAATCCTGACAAAGTTTAGAGGGTGTATAGCGGTCCTAAGCCCCTACCTCCAGAGCATTGGGAGCGGTGCCTACGGCCCTACCAAGGCCTGGTAGAACCAGGCCAGTAACATGGCTAGCGTCGGTACACGGGGCATCACTGTGTGTGGATTCTGCAGATGGCTTGTTTCAAGTGCGTGCCTAGGGCGCATGTGGGAGGAGGAAGGGAGACTCCATGCTCAGCATCACTTGGCTTCCGTTTCACAGCTTTTCCGTCGCGTGAGCAAATCCGGGGTCTCATCAATTCCAGCTACAAATTCATGGGAGCGCTAGACAGTCTCACTAAGCAGGGGGTCTGGAGGCCAGATTCCGGGAGTCCATCCTGCGCCAAGGATTTCGGGTTGTTGCCCTTAAAGTCAATGGAAGGATGGTCGCAGGATGGCTAGATCTCAGAGCGGGAACTCCACCAACCTTCAGACCCACTGAAACTTATGGGAACACCCGGAAATGAGAAGTTGTGTCTCAATAGGTTTGCAGTATTGCGTCGACACAGTAATCAGAGTGCTGCTTTGATTAAATCCTGGCCCTTTGGAATATCAGGACACCTGGTGTTGGCAATGTTCGAGGATGGCGAGTGGTACAACGCAACAGTCGTCAAGGACAGAGCCGAGCCAGCTGCTACGTGCATCCTCCAAGCATGTCCTACAGCTCTGCACTGTAGTTTTCATGTGGAGTCATGGACGTCCTGCGCTTGGAGGACCTGGGAGATGGAGGATTTGAAGTCTCCTGGGATGATCCCGACGGAGGTCCGGAGACATCGGTCTGCAATGCGGAAGAGATGCGGTGTCTTGCTTGCAGGAAGAAGGGAGAAACTTGAAGTAAAACACTAAGGGTTGCCTCTGCACTTCTCGGCTAGGCGCAAGGGGTAGTAAACCGACTGGATACCACATCAGCAAAGCATGACTGTGAAGTGGTCGAAACTTGAACAGATTTGCAGTCATGAAGCAGCTGAAGCTTGCCAAGAGCTGGGAGCTAGATCCTCTCATCTCAGCTTTCACTGAAATGGGGCAATCCAGGACATGGAGGGCTGCGTGCAGCAATTTAAACCCAAACCAACAAAGCTGTTTGGGCTTGAATCGCAGCTTGTTCTCACCACTTGTTGCTCTCAGGCTAGTTGAAGTCGATGAAGACTACGCGCAAGGGGATTGGGTGGAGGCTATGTTTGACCTGGATCAAATTTGGTATCCTGGGGTGGTGGAGGACCCGTTTCCTGCGACTAGGCCATCCTGTTTAGATTGAACAGGACTCACGAACATGAGTGTGGCCGTTTCACACACATGACCGTCTTGCGAAGAAGAGCCGTGCGCATGTCACCGTTGTGCTCTGCTAGTTTTGGGACGCCATCGACAGGAAGCCTTTGGCAACAAGACCTTTCTTGTTCGATGGGATGATCCTGATGGTGGACCAGAGACCAGCGTATGCGCTCCCAGATACATGATGCACGGCTCTGAACTTTAGATTATGCATGCGACCGGTCGCATTCTCCTCTTACAAAGTGCTTGAGCAACCTGCAAGTCTTCACTGCAAAGCTCTTGGCTACATAGGCATAGACCAGTCATAGACCCAAGGAAGCATCACTCGGTCTACTACTGTGACTACCAGGCAGGCTGCGCTTGAACCTTCTCCCAACACCAGCTTGCCGGCGCAAGTTCAACTTGATCAGGTAGGAGACAGAGTAGATGCCAGATCTTCCAGCGGGGAACCTTTGCTTCATGGCTGTTAGTCCAGATTCTCCTAACTCTAATGAACGAATCGCGGAGGAAGTGCGACCAGCCTTCATTGGAGACATCCACGCAGATGGTGCTCGGGCTCCAAAAGTACGCTGCGTGGACTTGTTGTGGAGCATTGAGACGTGCATCAGGTTCTTTCGACGTGCAATGGGAGACAGACTCGGAGGAAGGCCGCTTCAGGTGTTGGGCCGAAGAGTCTCAGCTCAGAAGGCCGCTCTCCTGGCCTGCAGTCTGCTGCAGTCTGCGTGTCAGCCTAAGGACCTGAAAGGAGTCCGGCGAGACTATGGGGTTGGTGATAGGCTTGGATCGTTCTGCTTTTTTGTGTTCTTGGCTTTGCTCCCTTCCCTATGAGCCTGCAGGGTGGAGGCATTGTACCCAGGGACATGGGAATGGCAGACCGGCGTTGTGAGGCCCATCTGCTCTGTGCAACAGACGTTTTTCCTTGCTCTTCTCCGCTTTCCCAGGCGTCGACTGGAGTTTGGTGCCTTTGAAATCCGTTGGGACCAACCTGGGGCTGGCCCAGCCTCCTCAATGAGCACTCCGGCTCCTTGGAAGTACAGCTGGGTTGAGGTTCGGATTGCAACCCAATCTCATTTCAGGTGACTTGTAGCTGCGTGCTTCATTTGTCTTGCGACGCTGCCTAGCCACGCATCCATCTGAAGGAAGAGATGTCACCTCTCCAAGACTTGGATGAGGAAGAGTCTGTGTTGCAACTATGTGTTGAGCTGGTAACCAAGACTTGTTTCCTACAGGGTGCACTGAGCGGCAGACACAATAGCGATCAGGACTGGTTCAGTGAGGACCTTGATGAGGAGTACGAAGGCGAGGTGCAGAAATAGCTCACGGTTCGGTATGCCGCGGTATGCTGCAGATGTTCAAGACTTGTTGAAGGCGACGAGTCTGACAATTTTCCTCCAGAAGAGGAGCCACCATGTTGTTGAGCTTTCGCAATCTTGGAGAGATGTGCCGCTGACCTACTCTCAGATGTGCTGCACGGTTCACAGGCCGCTTCTTCCAAAATCACGTCCTGCGCCAAGCCGGATCCGAGCTGCCAGAGGTGCGATGGACGCCAAAGTGTAAGTACAAAGCAAGTTGAAGTTCTGGGGCGAGTTCGGAATTCAATGCTTCTTTCAAAGCGTGCCTTGTGCAGCGACCTTGTGCCCGAATCCAGGAGCAGGGTGCCCTCCGAAATCCTGCTGGCGCAGTATGTACGGAAGCTTGGTTGTGGAATTTGTGATTTATCAGTTGTCATCCACCATCGTCATAGTATGTCTTGAAGTCTTGCCGCTGTAAGTGTTTTTGCCTTTCGCTGACCTGGACAAGGCTTCCCGAAGTTCAGTGCCCTTTGGCTTTCAATCAATCAGAATCATACAAGCCAGCGCAAGGGTGAGACAGAGCCAACCTGATCCCTGGCGGCACAGATCCGGAAAGAGCCAGTTGAGACATCCAAGGTTTGTGCTTTCACCCTACAACCACAGCTCTGCAGATGGTCTTTTGGCGAGGGCGTCCGACCCATCCATCTCGCTCGTGGACAGTTGCACGGCTCAGAAAATGGTCCGTATTTGCTTGTCTATTTGCATCTGTCTGTCTCCTGGAGAACAAACGCTGATATTCTGTCTGCCTGAGCAGGTTGCAAATGGACCACAGCTCACGCTGAAGCTTGGATCCAGATCAATGAGAACCTGCCCATCATTATGGTATGTTGCCATGTACGTGATTTCAAGGAACCCTCGACAAAGAGGCCATCGCCGCAACTGGCGGCAGAGACAGGTCTCTAAGCTTTTGGGCTCCACCGTCATTCGCTGCTTGCCAGGCATAGGAAGATAAGGTTCAGAATAGTTCAGATATGTCCAACATGCTCTCCATTCTTCTGGTGTAGAAGCTTGTGCCAGCTGGGGTGCACCTTTTCTATGACTGCAGGGGCTTCAAGCTCCTGAGGACTGATTCCCAGCCGGCACTTGGTGCAAAGATTCGCCAGCAGAGCCAAAACAGCAGCAGCCGGTCGGGATTCGGTTTGGGCACGTTGGCTTCGAGCTCATGGCATGCTGGTGGCCTGGACCCGGTGCAAGACTGTAGCAGTAGCATTGCGCTGTTGCAGGTTTGTGGGCACTGCGGGAATTTTCCAGCGTACATAAACTGAGCTTCGGATACAAAAAAGGCTCCGCTTGAAGAATTCAGCATACCCAAGCTGAACTTGTATCTTGCTTTGTACCGCTGAAGCTCATGCATAGATGTGGGATTGCACTGGCCGTGGCTCGAGGGCACATCGCCCCTCCGCCCCTAACGCAGCGCCGCCTTAGGCAGGCTGGGTCAGGGGGTCCTGGGGGTCCTGCAGTGAGCAGGGCCACCATGGCCACCATGGCCCGGGCCCTTCACTTTCTGACAGCTATCACTTGTCCTGCTGCTGTGACCATACCGCTCAGGGCCTCAATTATGTACTCCTTGCAGCATATGCTGCCTTAGCATTAGGCTGGTTGCGTTGACTGCTGTTTGAGCTGTTAGCTTTAGCCACTTGGCTGTGCGGTGCAGACGTCTTGGCTGCGAGGCATCCACCAAGCTTCACCGTCGGAATTGCGCATGAGGCGAAGCGTGTGCGGCACCGGAGTCAGCTGCAACCTTTGCAGTAGTTGAGGACGTTGAGCGACATTTGGCACCTCGCTCGCCCCAAAAGTCAATCTCTTCTGCGCTGGCCTCACTTCTACTCAACTGTATCCTACGAGGGGTTGCGCAGCTCCAACTCAGGCAGGGAAATTCTTTCGTGAAGAACCTTGACTACAAGCTCCGACTGAGAGTAGGAGGCTTACGCCCTGCAGTGTAGAGTTTGGCTCTGCACAGCGTTGCTTCTTTTCGCTTCTTTCCTCAAGCCAAAGCTCAGGTGTGTAGTGCCTATCCAGGCGAGGCCCCTTTTGAGGTCCTCCTCAATGAGGCAGACTCATGTATGTGGTTGGAGAGCGTCGCAGCGTTGCATTGGCGTTGCCGCCCGAGTGGTTTCGTTCACTTTCACGGCATTTCGGCCGTTTGAAGGAGTTTGGATGACATGGCTGTGCCGTTGCTGCCGCCGCCGCGGCTGCTGCTGCTGCTGCTCCTGCTCCTATGTCTTTGCTTTACATATCGTTTCCCCAAAGGACCCAGATCGTGGTAAGGCCGTTGGTATGGCATCTGCTATGCCTCTGCTTTAGACATCGTTGCCCTGAAAGGTCGAGGTAAGGTCGTTGGTGTGGCTGCTGCTTGCGCTTTTGCCGTTGCTATGCTTCTGCTTTACATATCGTTTTTCCAAATGGCTCCTGTGCTGCAAGCAAGAGGGACATATTCCTGTGGGGTTTGGTTCACTTTCCGACAACGGCTCACGAAAACTCTCTAGTAGTAATGCTGCCCATTCTTCATGTCAATATCGAGAATACTTGCAGCAGCAAAGAGATGTTCCGAAGCCTCCTGATGTTCTGGGTTTTTAACTTCCGCACGGGTGCTGTCTACTGAGCTTTTTTGTTCAAGACACCCTGATTTTCTTGCTTTTCCTGTTATTTCACGGGCAGGAAAGTGCCGCGCATCATGTAGTTTTCTCGGAACTCTGTCATTGGCCAGGATCAACTTGAATTCCCAGTGTTGGCAAGAAGCAGCGGTCAGAGTTCACTGCCAGCATGCACAACTCAGATGCGACGGAGAGAGCTGAACTCTAGTTTTTGCAGGCAACCATTCAGGAGAAGCTCGGGTGCACAGCTTAGTCCTGTTTCCCTGAAGGCTCCGCTGCCATGCTTAGTCATGTGAGATGTTAATTAATTGTTAAGGTACAAGAAGTGCTTCGAGTACACTGGGGATCTCCGTTCGGGGGACAACATCAATTTCAAGGCCCGGAGCAGCATGCAGCGCTTGGTGTGCTTGCAGCAGAATGTTGCAGTAGAGCTCGGAAGAGGTTGCGGGACTCCCGTCTGGATCTTTCACCATCGACACATTGCCTAGGGAGGACGCCACCCTCATCTTGGCAGCGGCCTTGGGAGTCAAGTGCCTGTGCTTGCATCGTACGTTGAACAGTCCTGCGGATGTGTAGCAGGAAAGCACATGCGTAGGTCGTTCAGCAGCAAGATGCTGCCACCAGGGAAGTGACCTTCGCGCATTTTGGCATGCAAAGCACATGGTGATGAGACTTTGAGGTTGCCTTGCCGAGGGCCATACTGGATGACGAGCGACAACTTGCTCAGGTCCCATGTTTTTGCGGGACTCTCTGGACCGCAAGTGGCTCTGCTGGATGCTCTGCAGGCAGACAGCGCATGACATAACCTTCTGGCAAAGCTAAGAAGATTTGGCGTCTGTCAGGGAGCAACAACTTCTGTAGTGGAGATACAACAGCAGGCACGCCCAAACTAAGACTTGCAAGAAGGTGCAGAAAGGCAGTCTGTGTCTTTGATGGCAGGGGAGTGATGAGAAAGTTGAGACGTTGAGGCCTGTGTACAAGCTCCTAAGCTCCATCCATGGCACAGGGATGCTCGCCGGGAGGTACAACTCTGTTATGTCGCTGGAGGAGGGCGAGTACCAGGTTCGGCCAGAAAGCAGCTGTACTTCAAAACATCTTCAAACAAACTGCTGCTGCACTAAGGTAGTCTTGCACCGTGGCAAGGAGAAGCGTCAGGCAACGAAGCGATGCAGCTTTCTCGATCTCTCAACAATTCAAACCCCTGCGCTGGGCAGTACGAGCTGTCCACGCAGCAGGGGCCGCAGAGCTGAAACGCCTGGCGGCAGAATCAGCTTAAGCACATTGCCGTGAGCCTATGCTGAAAGGTCTGACGAGGCCTATGTGATGGTTCGATGTGGCAGCGAGCTCATCGTATCTTCTATAGTCATTCACAGTTTCTTGCCAGCAACCCTTCCAGAGATGAGGTGTGCAGTCTGAAGTCGCGCAGAACTTCACGGAGGAGCTGCTGTAGTAATCCATCGCGGTGGCGTGTTCAGGAACCCTTGAGGATCTGCAGGATCCCATTTTTTAAGGACCCATTAATTCAGGCTTCTGAGCCAGTCGTTCCAGTTTGCAGTGCTCCAGGAACTTTCACGCATGTAGAGCTTCAAGGCTGTTGTACAACGCCTGCAAGCATGTATGGCTTCAGACCTGTATGTGCATGCCCTGAGCGCTCAAATTTCATAGCTCATGCTAACGGAGGCACCCTGATTAGACAGCTTTGCTTTGCGAAGGCCCACGTCGTGTATGACTGAAGTTTAAAGGGTTGGCGGCCTCTCGATGCCTATGTCCATCCATGGCACAGTGCGGATCGACACCAATGCTGAGACAGTCAAAGTCACGCCTCCTGTGCTTGTACGGCACAGATGCCCAGCGACAAAAGCTTAGATATTGTGTTGGTCGACGCCAAACGGTGAAAGTCACTGCTGAACCGCCTGAATGCAAAGGTGCATTGCAAGGGATCCTCCATGTGCTTGGGAAGTCGTGGCTGCAGGAATTGCTGGGTTGTAGCAGGGTGCCTCATGCCCTTTCCCAAGATGTCTTCCACACTCTGCGGCCTGGACAGTATCCGGTGACACCGGAGCACCTCTGCCTGAACTGCTCCGTTCAGGACAAGCTTCACCGAGCCTTGCGGCATCTGCAGCGAACCCACCTGGAGACGGAGAAAGCAACCGAGGCGCTGGCAGAGCAGTATGCGTCGCTACGCAAACACGTCACAACGGTGCAGCGCACTGCCCGTGGCGAAGTGGAGCGGTACCCCAGCCCCAGGCAAAGTAAATGGACCCCTCAAACACGCGTCGACGATCAACTTCACAGAGCTTCAGCGGATGACCTGGCCAAGTATGTGTCAAGCGCAAGGCAGGCATCATCTAAGTCATTGAGTTGGCGAAGTTCTCCCAGATAGGATGCTACTTTGAGGCCAACATCTCAGAGAGTCTCACCCGCCATTGGGAACTCCAAGGCGCACGTAGTAGCATGCAGAACAGAATCAAAGGTCTGCGCCGGCAAAAGATTTGGCTTTCAAAAGAAACAGGGAGGCCTCACATCTGAACACAGCAGCCTGCTACAGCAGCCAGCAGGAGTTGATCATCTACCCTGGTGATCAGGCCTTCGGGTTTCAGTTGCCCCCAGGAACCAGGAAGCCATGCTTGCCAGCTCTTGCAGGAAACCGAGGAGCCCAACACGAAGGCCTGACAGAAAAGTCCTGACATGCCTTAAATGCCATGAGCAGCATGAGCGCCTCGTGCGATGGGCTCAGGCTGGAGCTGCCTCCCTCGTCGAGGTCTTAGACTAGCTCAGATTATTTGGAGTTCCACGCTTCAAGCGAAGGCAGTGCAAACATTCTGCACTGCATATACCTGGCTAAGGTGATCTCATGGTTTGCGGCCATGACCGCCGTTGTGCTAGTCTGGTGATACCTGTGGCAAGTGCTTGCCCTTGCGCGTTGCAGCGCGCCGCTGAACTAGCAAATATCTCCTCCTAGCTTAATTCTGTAGGAACTGATGATATGCCAAGATCGGTGCAATGTTGTCCATGCTTTCATGCGATTCAGAGTGCAGAGTCTCACACATCGCACACCACCTGTTGAAAAGAGGAACGCGTGCAGAACACGGCTATCCGCGTGGTCAAAGTTGAGCGACTCCTTGCAGCAGCAAAATTGTGCTCTACGGCTAAGCAGCTGTGGCTCAAGCAGAGAGCCAGGCTCCAAGGCATAGGGCAAAATGTCGAGTCCACCCGAGGCGGCCTCGGGGTCTCGCTCGCCAGCCACACCAAGGAAAAGCATTTCGGAGCTGTTGACGAAAGTTACATCAGATGGCCCACGGCAAAGGCTCTCAGATGCAGAGGTCGATGACTTTTTCCGCGCTGAGTTGTGGCGGCCGTCGCAGCCGCAAAGCTCATTCCGAGATCATGTCTTAGACCGAGCTGCTGATCTGGTTGCACCATCCAGCAGTGCCGCGCCGCCCGTGGCATCTACGGCTTTGGAGGTAACCACTCCTCCGAGGCGTGGTCGGCGACCGCTGTTGGAGACTCCTTCGCCTGTGCCAAAGCCAGGAAGGGCCAGAAATCGCACTGAGCCTCCAAAAGGCACGAAGCGAAAGCTCGCAGAGGCAGCTCCATCCCCAGCGAAGGCCAAACCAGCCACTGCATCCCCAGCACGGCGACATACAGAAAAGTCTCCTGCAGTGCCAAAGTCAATCCTCAAAAAGCCTTCCCCCAAGAAGGCCAACAAGAAGCAGCTGATGGCTGTTGAAAAGCCGAACACCTTGCAAAAGTCGAACACCAGACAGATTGCCAAGCTGCAAGCAAAGGGAGCGTTGACGAGTGTTCCTGTCGATGTGTTTGGGTCCTCAGACTTAAGCACGAAGACGCGGCCAAAACGATGTAGAATGCCTCCTTTGCAGGCCTGGCGGAATGAACGGGTTGTCTATGAAAGAGCCGCGAACAGCCAGTTGCCAACAGTCGTCGCAGTTGAGCTGGACATGGCTCGAGCTTCTGCGGATCTAAAGCTGACAGCTTTGCAGCTACCGCTCCCTGAGATTGAGGCCTCGGAGTTCGCGGGCATCTCCACAAAAAAGATGCGCAGCAAGATATACGCGCTACCCTTGCAGCCATCTCCCACGGCAGGGCCTTGCACAATCGCGCTTTGCGGTCCTGGGCTGATCCACGTCTTGGACGGATCTCTGCGGTTTGCAAAGGAGACTGAGAAAAAGGAAAGGATGGCTGATGCCGGTACCACCATCTTGCTCAAAGATACGGAGAGTCACCTGCTAGCGCCCGCCGACATCGATGGTGAGGGCTCAGGGGTTCGTTTTTTCTGGGTGGAGGTGAGGTGAGCACACTTCACTGGAGTCCTGCAGCGGCCTTTGTGTGTGCGCTCCGGGGTCCAGGCGCTTTTCGCCATGTTGGTAGGTCAGTGCGAGCTTGATCAAGCCAATGAATGTAGAGTACTTTCACTCAATTGCTCCAGACAATGATCTGCATCCAGGAGCCTTTGCGCTCATGTAGGGAATGCCTTTGTGATGGGTTGCTGCCGGGTGAATCACGAGCAGAACATGATCTTAGGATGGTGAAAAGCAGCAACCTTGCACTGCAGGAAAAGTCTAATGCACCTCTTCTCGCGTCAAGAAAAAGCTAGCACTGTCGTGTCATCATAAACCTTGAAGCGTGAAAGTTTTTCCGCCATCCGACGCCCAGGTTCGCAGGTTTCACAGGCAGCCTTAGCCTTGCACACATAAGAATGACTTGGTTTTGTTGCTGCAGTCGCACACAGCATTCCCATTAACGTCTGCATTGGATACCTTCGGTACGCCCTCAAATCAGTCGACTCTGGCGTTGATTGCCCACGGCAGGCCTGAGATGCGTTGTCAGTCTGTCTGTCTTGCAAGCCTGGTAGCTCCGGCCCCGGCACAGGTTCTGGCGTGATGGTCTCCGGTCAAGACGACAGCTTACATACTGCACGTGGCAGCGTAAAATCAGATATGCGCTGCGTATCTTACCAAGGCCAATGGCATCGTCGCCCCTACACAGGACTTGCCGTGGCCCCTGACAGAGGATTCAAAGCATATTAGCAGAAGTCATCACGAAGCTGCGGAAGGTTGGGAAACTACAGCTACCTGGAGGACGCTGCGTCTGAGGCAGATGCCAGAGTTGTGCTGTCCTAGACCACACACACCTCGCTGGGAGATCTCTTCAGGTCAAAGCCCGGAAAGGTGAGATTACAAAGGCAGTGACAGAGCTGAAGGCCGAAGCTCCATCGTATCTGCCGAGAGAAAATAACTGATCTTGGGAGGCTGCCGTAGAAGCTGCCCGTGCAAGTCTGGCACTCAGAGCTTGGGCCAGGGTTTCTGTGGGATGGGCAATGGGCCCAAGCTGCAATGGCTGCCTTGAGGCCAAGACGTGCGCTTGGAGGGCGAATTGCAAAACCTCCTCGCTCGAGGCCACCTCATAAAAGGAAATACCGACACTGCCTCAGTGCCCCACTCTTTTACTGAGGCTGTTGCTTGTAATGCTAGCAAGATGAGGGCCTTCATGAGACAGCTGCAGCTCAAGACTTTGAGAGCTATGCATGATTATCGTCTTGCTGGTGTCAAGTCAAGATGGAGGCGAATGCTGCAACGAAGTTCACGATACACGTTCCAGACGAAGACCTGGCAGATCTGAAGGCTCGGCTCTCGAGAGCCAGGATCGTGCCCGATGAGATCGTTGATCGCGGATCCGATCCAAATGGCGCGTGGGCTTACGGTACCGACCGAACGGTGTTGCAGGAATACGTGTCGCACTGGCTCCATAAATATGATTGGCGCCAGAAGGAGGCAGAGCTCAATGCGTTACCACATTTCAAGATGCAAGTCCACGGTCTGCAGACGCACTTCATACACCAAAGATCTAGGAGCGCCGATGCGATTCCACTGCTGCTCGTACATGGTTGGCCGGGTTCCGTAGTAGAGTTTCTAAAGCTCCTGCCGCTGCTGGCCGACAAGTTCCACGTTGTTGCCCCGAGCATCCCGGGCTATGGCTGGAGCGAGGCACCCAAGCGCCGCGGCGCAGATGCTGTCTTTATGGCCGACCACATGGCGGAGCTCATGCGATTGCTGGGATACAGCAGTTATGTTGCACAGGGCGGTGACTGGGGCGCTGTCATCACCAGCTTGGTAGCACAGCGACACCCGCAGAAGTGTGTAGCGCTCCACATTAACATGTGCGTCGCTATTCCTGGTGATTGGTATGACATGTTCAAAGCTGTGCTGGGACTGCCTTTCTGGACCCGAGCAGAATGGGCTGGACTGAGAAGCACCATGTATTTCCAAAAATATGAAACGGCATACCAGAAAATTCACGGCACAAAGCCGCAGAGCCTTGGATACGGGCTCAACGACAGTCCTGTGGGTCTTCTGGCCTGGATCTTGGAGAAATTTCAAAGCTGGAGCGACAGCCGTGGAGGCCGCCCAGAAGCAAGTGGCCTAACGATGGATGAGATCCTGACAAATGTCATGGTGTATTGGACGACACAGAGCATTACCTCAAGCCTCCGTCTCTACTATGAAACCTTGTCTATTCACCCACCACCTAAGGGGGAGGGCTCACGAGGCTCACATCGTTTGAGGGGAATCCGGGTGGCTGTGCCGACGGCGGTGCTGTGGGCTCACACTGACCTGTTCAAGTTTCCGAGAAATGTGGCAGCCCTGTGCTACAATATCCGTCAATGGAGCACACCTTCCAAGGGAGGGCACTTCTTTGCTTTTGAGCAACCTGAGATCCTGGCGGCTGACATCCAGAAGTTTTTCTGCCAAACTCTAGACTTTCAGCAGTGCAGGCAGCACGCATCAGTGCCCGGCGAAGCTGTGCGTCCCGGCAAATACCTTCTCCTTTGTCTGCTAGCAGCAGCTGCTGTGGGTACCGCGCGTACCTTGCGGCATCGGCTATGATGTTTCTTTGGTTGTAGGAAGATAGTAGCTTTATCGTGTCCGTGAAGTCCTAGAAGCAACCCCAGCTCAGTCCACCACGGCAAAACAGCCTGACCGGCGTGACGCCTGCTGCAGACCTCCTGCCGGATCGGTCGGCGCATCTCCAAAAAGCATGTAAGTTGCAGACATGCACATGAGACAGCGGTAGAACAGCGAAGCTCTGAAATCCAATAGCCGCAGCTGCAGCACCACCACCACCCAGGATGCAGCAAGGGAGGCTGCTGATGCTGCAACGGCGATCAGCGATGGGCAGCAGGACGCCAGAGGTTGCCCATGTTTTGGTGAATTTGAGCTGCCTGGCAGGACAAGGCTTTGGAAGCCAAAGTCCACCTGACTGCATGGGGCCAAGAAGTTGCTTCGCGGGTGCCCACGCTGACTTAGCGTTCGGTGAGGCCTCACGCATAAACCTCCGGCTGAACGATTTCGAGTCTGCTGTTCAGGTCCTGCATAAGCATTGGTAAAAGTCAGTACTTGAGAAGCCGCCGCCTGCCAGGAAGTTCGGGAGGCCAGCTGCTCCGCTATAACTGAAGCTCGCAGCAGTGCTAGAACATCGGACCTTTCCGGAGGCCATTGCAATTTACCAGCAGACCGGAGAGGGCCGAAAGGAAGCATCAGCTTTCTACCAGCCCGTGGCCCTGCTTAAGCAAGGTTCAACGCAGCACTGCGTGCACCGAGGCTTGCTGGTGTCTGCATGGAATACGGTAATCTCAACGAGGGCCACCAGGCTGCTGACAAGGCCAAAATGGGGATTTGTCAATGCCATGCTCGCGGCGTCAAAGCCTGCATCTACCAAGGCCCAAGGACTGTGGCAAAACGAGGGAGACAAGAAAGAGGAGATCAAGGCACAGCTTACATCTTTGAAATCTCTGGGCATCTTCTGTAAAGCTGGGCGACACTCCTTTTACAGGCAAAGCTGCGGGCAGCTCAGCAACCGCCGCTCCTTTGCTTGCTTGCTGTATCCGATTCCTGCACACTTGAGGCGACTTGCAGAGCTGGTTGCCATGAAAGGCCGATGCGTCAAGATTGCAAGGAGCGCAGCCGGCTGTAAACCACAGCACCAGAGGCCAGATAGATGAAGCCATTCAAATGGCCGAGCAGGCCCGCCCTTCAAAAAAAACTGATCCAGCTAGTCGATGCCATGCCATGCGTGGGTACGCAAATTATCCTCTTGGCTGGCTCAAAGGCACCGCAGCATAACCTCAATCCAATCCTTCGCACACAAGCAGATGGATCAAGGGGAACCTTCGAACATGTGGATCAGGGGACAATACTAGATATTCCTTGTCAGGCTAGCAAGTTTTCAGTTTTCAGACCGACCTGCTGATGACAAAACATGGCAAAGCATAGCATGGATCCTGAGTCATGACAGTCGACATCGTTGACCACTCAAGTCTGCTCCTGTGGCCGCACAGTAGGCCGTTGGCTTCTTGAGGTCAAATGACAGTCAAGTGCCTGCCTGCTGCAGGTTGGCACGGCTGGTGAGTTGTGTCTTCCGCAAACGTGTTGCAGAGGCTGGATGCACAGCGATGAGCCCCGACTCCCAATCGTCGCAAAGTTAGTTCACTTTTTGATTCGCGACTTTGCATCCACTTTTTGCCAGCTTGCGCCAGCTTGCGGGCCCAGAGGCTCCTAAACACACGCCTCAGAGGATCTCACAACCTTTTCCTGACAGGGCCCGGACCTGGGGCTGCAATTTCTGTCGCTGCCGCCTGGAGCCTGTGATGTACTGGTGCCCTCCAGCGCCATGGCTGTAAGTGGCATCGCAAGAACCAACAGTACGCCCTGCTATGTCATCAGCGGATGTGAGTTGTTGTGAGTTGTTGTGGGTCATCGTTCAGACACGACACGACAGCTCTGAGCTTGGCTGCAGAAGTGTCTCAGGACTTCCGGGCCTCGATGGTGGCAAGCCCCTGGCCCCGCAGCTCGGCAGGGTCCTGCAAACTGTCAAGAGTACGAGCTGACTGCGGGTTTCACCTAGCGACTTCAGCTGGAGTAGTCGCATTCGCACTGTTTGCATGCCTTTTGGGAGGGCACTCCCCAAAACGAGGCATGTCCTTTGCTCATGTTTGGCACGCATGTGCCGAATCATTACTTCAGGTGGAAGCTGGTAGAAGATCCAGCCACGCTTCCAGACTTGCCACCGCCACCAGGCTGCCCAGCTACAGCGTGAACCTTTTTGGTACTTCTCTTCATTTCCAAAGATAGCATGCAGTGTTCTGTGAAGCCTGCCAGGCTTCCTGAAGAAAGGGAAGGGCAAAGGCAAAGGCCAGAGTGCTTCTGGCCTGAAAGGTGGTCTTGGCAAGAGCAATTGGATCGCGAGTGCTTTGGCAGCAGCGTCCTGACAATGCTAAAAGTCTTGAGGATTTCTTTCTAGCAGCAACTTTTGACCTTCAGGCTTCACAGGCCAAAAGGGAAAAGCCAGAGGAGCAAGCCAGGTGGAGCAACCTGACCAACAGGCCAGAGCAGGTTCCCTGGCAGTTGGCCGCTTCGGAGTTGAGGAGAACCCAGCCTTTGCCTGAGACAGACAGAGTGGAAACACTTGCAATGTCTCAAGCAATCTTGCTCTCAGCAGCATTTCTGAACTCGGAGCTTCAGGTTCCGAATTTCGGTTGCTTTGATCCCGAGGACAGCCAGACCATCCGATTTCAGGGCTGGGATTTACTTTCTGCAGACCCTGCATGCATGAGACGCAGGAGCTTAAGCAAAGCACGTTCAACTGCACGACTCTGGTTGTGGAACGAGGTCTCGCGCTCAATGGATACTCTGGCGAAAGGAGTTGCACCTCAAATTTGCAAGACTCTGCCAGGATGTTGTATAGTTCCAGACGCGTTGCCGAGCCATTCATGCACCCAGCTCTGCGCAGCGAAGCTGCACATTGGGCTGAGTCGATGCTAAGGAACAGTTTCTGTTAAAAAAGATTAGCTGAACAAAGGAAGCGTCCGACTAAGGGCTTGATTGATGCTGTGCTCGAGGAGGTGCAGCAGAAATTGCGCAACGCACCAGACGATAATACGCGTGATCAAGTCAGGCTAACAGACGCCTGGCTGCAAGAGCGTACAGGTGAGGCGAGCATCCGTGGTGTGAAAGGTGTTGCGTTCTCGCCGTGTAGCTTCGAATCAGAGCCATCTAAGGAGCTGGGGTCCGTGGCTGCCTGAGACAGCTAATTAACATGTTGCAGCCACGGTTGGGCATCATCTTCTTTGCAGGTGCATGCAGAAGACCACCGATGGGATGTGAAGCTGCCGCTTTGCTCAGAGGTGCGCTGCGCAGTGGAGCTGCTAGCAGCCTGGCGGCAAACTTCACAGCTGCAAAGCACACAGCAACATTGGAACGTGTCATATCAGGTTTCGTCTCTGGGAAGCCTTTTGGAAGATCTGGTCTCCAGAGATGCTGTCCTAGCAGAGCTTGCATGTGTAGTGAGCGATCCAGGCTCGCTTGCAGTGCTCCATAGTGCTCCTGAAGCTCGGAAATGGTTTCTGACGTTTCTGGACATGCTTCAGGCGCCAAGCAGCAGCCACTACATGCAGACACACTCCGGATAGGCAAGAGGATGTCACAGAATATGTAATATGGCACGCTGCTCTGCAAACTGTGTTGCTTTTCAGATACCTTCGCCAGGCAGCGCGTGTGCTCCATCTGTCACGGTGTTCGTGCCTTTGCAAGACACACGGGCGGCCATGGGCCCCACAATTCTTTGCCAAGGTCCCGCTGCTGCATGTTTTCGTGAAACATATGCGCCTGAAGTGGAGTCAAGCCGGCAAAGCTTGCCAAACTGATCCAAGGAACCCACAATCTGGAGTCACACCTGTCACTCTTCAAGTGTGAGCAAGTCTTCATGCCGCAAGACGTCGTTGTCAAGAAGCATGGTGGCTGCTGGGCATTGCACCAAGTTCATTATAGGGGACATCACCTTAATTGTGCACCCCGACCGCTCTCCCAACAGGCTTGCCTGCAATCTCTGCAGCGGGCACGGCCATCATCATGAACTCCAATTTGCTGCACTGTGGCGGTGCCAACTTGCCGGAAGCCATGGGTGGCAGTAGACGAAGACTGTTCTATGTGACTTGTCCGCAATTTGGGCATCTGCCGCAGCATCGCTGAATGTGATGTCGTTCCCAGGTGACGTTTCAGACGCCTGGAAACACACCAGACAGGTCCCTTGGCCAAGGCAGCTGGATGCATTTTCACGGAGCATTCTGCTCATCTTGTACTAAAAATCATGACTGTAGCCGCAGCCACCTTGCGGGTCATACATCATCATGATCTTTGTGCGACTGGTGTATGGGCATCGTGTTGTGCCTACAATACGTGTGCAAGAAAACTGATGGTAGCAAAGCGAGCCCATCAATCTTTGATTCGTTCTGCACATCCTGAGGAAACAAGGCAATGCTCGCATTTTCTGCCAACTGGAAAGCCGTGCTCAAAATTGAAAATCATGACCGGAAATCCCTTCCTGAGTGGCAGGTGCTCGGTCAGCAATTGCCCTCGCATCTGAGGTCGTCTTTCTCTCTGCGAGAGGACTTGCTAGAGGTCAGCAGGCAGTTCTGTTTTCTGTGGTTCTCCTGAAGGCATAGACCAGTCGCTTGATTTGACAGGAGTACTACCTCTCAGACTTCGACTCCGGGCCGAGCCTAGAACACTCTCCTGACCCGGTCCGGAAGGCAGGTCATTTCATGAACATGCGGGAAGCAAGCTGATATTGATAGCAGCCTGGTCAGGATCTGCTTCTGGGCTCTCTGAGAGGTGATAGCTCAGCTGGGCGCTCAACTTCAGGGCTTCAGAGACTCTTCCGCCCATTTTGGCCTATGCAAACTGACCTAGGCGATGCTGGACTTGGGCATTTACCTGCAATCTCAAGGCGATCCTGGCGCCGTGGAATACTTCCGCAAGGCGGCCTTGAAGAAAAATGTGATGCCTGGCTTGTACTTCCCTAGCACGATCGAGGGCCGCGAGAGTTGTGCATGGCAACAAAAGCGAAAGGAATGGCATTGTAGGTGTGCACCCAGAAGCGAACTGAAACGAAGGAAAGCCTTCGCCTACATGGCAGATGTGTTTGAACAAGGCCGGTGGAGTATCTATGCTGCTGACAACACTAGATTTTGGCGAGAATCCATGCGAGGCTTGTTGGGGATCCCCCGAAATCCGGAGGAAGCCACAAAGCTGCGAAACTTCGGCCCCCTGGCTATGGATGTGATGGGCAGCAGTCATTGGCTTGTTTTGCGCACGCTACAGGGTCCGTCGATGCACAAGAACCACCCAAAATGGTTTCATTGGCCCCCCGCATCGAATGCAGGCTTTAGACAATCTTGTCGTGTAGGATTCTCATCCGCGTAGAGATGCAGTTGCATTGGCCCCACAGCTGGATACGTCAATGTGTCCAGCCACGTCACTGGGCTACTGATGGGGGAATTGCCACAGGCATTCCAAAGCGTTCCCTAAGGTCTGGCCATGGAAGAGCTGCCCGGAAGCAGATCTGCTCACCGTATTTTTTGCATGTTTCTGCACATAGAATAACTTGTGGCCTCATCAAAAGGTCGATGAACATGGAAGCTGGGAGCGACTCACCCCCCGCCTCCGCACATCTCCAGGTGAGTGAGCAGAGTGAGCAGAGACATTTTGGTGCTGCAGAAGCTTCTGAAGACAACCCTGCGTCAGCGATGAGCAGTGCCTGATCAGCTCCAACCTCGCAACTGTTTAAGGAGCCAAAGAATCTGCTTCCGTTGAGTGGCCGAGCTGCGCTTCAAAAAAGGTCGGATACAGGAAGCAGCGGCACCTAATATACGAGAGTTCAAGCTCTGCACAGCCCACAGAGCAAACTTTGTTTTGGAACCAGGGCATGGCCTCATCGCAGAACGAGAACAACCGCGATGCAGAGGCGACGGACTGCAGCAAGACCTGCCACAGCCAGTGCCTGGCTTCCGCAAAAACTTGGAGAAGAATAAGGGGGCGTCCGGGGTCCGTTTCAGTTCAGATTTTTTTTTCCGAGTTATTCTTTGCACGCCAGGCGTCAGGCTCTTACTTAAGACTTGCAATTGAGTGAAAAGAGCATTTAAGCAGGGTATCTTGAATGCCTTGACTCTGTGGGGTCTTGTTGCCAGCCATGCAACAATCAAAGCTGATTCTGGGGGTGTGGACTCACGAGTCAGGGATTACCGTAAAATGTGATGTAAAACAACGCGCCCTGCTGGAAAAGGGTTGCAAAGTCACAGGGCGGGTGAGCAGATTGAACAGACGGAAGCCGCATGAAAGAAGGCAGCACAACACTGTTGGTGCCTCACTTCAGGAACAATTGCTTTGCCATCAACTTGCTGTGATGCTGCAGCGAAGCCTTGAGTTCCTGGCCTTGCCAGGCTGAGTGTCTTCGGGTCCTCAGTATTTTTCACCAGGTGCCGCAACCAGCTGTAGTGAGATTGCAGCAGTTTCCGCATATTGCATGCTCGCCAGTGAGCCAGCCTGCGTGCTCTTTCTGTGGCCCAGATGCTTCTTTCTGGCTCAAGCCGTCTCATGGCTTTGTTATGTTAGCTCCTTCGGTATCTTTTCGGGCCGAATGGCAGTGACTTTGCCCCAATGCAGTATGCAGCTCCTTGGCTATGCGCATGAGCACCTTTCCACACCGTATGTGGTCGCACAAATCTGGCAGCAAGTGTATCAACGCCTTTGAGAATTGTCCCGCGCAGCTTCAAGTCATGCAGCGAAGAGTGACCCCAGCAACCTCAAGCCAGCATTCTCAGTCTTAGGGGCAGCTACTCCTACGATGGATCTCTTTCACCCACAGCGCGTGCCGCACCGTGGCAAGGACTCAGAAACATACTAGATCTATGATAAGTGGTACCCCCGATCAGCCTAGGTTTCCCTCTTGTCGCTGTCCTCAGGGAAAGGTATCCGGGTAGGGTTTGGGCTTCTTTCTCATTCACAGATTGTCGCTGCGCCAGTACCTTGGTATACCTCTTGCTGCTCTGTTCAGGTATCTAAAGGGTTTTGGCGCAAAAAACGTTAGGAGGCCCCTGAGGAGGCCCCAAACGACTCTAACGACTGAATCTCTTGGGTTTTCCGCGGCCCGTGCTATGATTAGGGTGCCCAGACCCCTAGGTTTCCGCAATTTCCAGAAATGCAGGTTTTAGCTTGTTTTAAGGTTTAGGGTTTTGGGGGTTTAGGGTGTTTAGGGTTTTGAGGGATTAGGCTTTTTGGGGTTTGGGGTGTTATCAGGGGCTTTAGGGTTCAGGGGGTTTAGGGTTTTCAGGGTGAAGGTTTTTAGGGTTTACGGTGTTTCGGG